TCATCTTCCAGCTCCCCAGCTAGTCCGCGTACTAAAGTTGTACTACAAAGTCACCAATTCTCATCTTCCAACTCCCCAGCTACTCCGCGTACTACAGTTGTACTACAGAGTCGTCAGTTCTCATCTTCCCACTCCCCAGCTACTCCGCGTACTAACGCTGTACTATCAAGTCGCCAGTTCTCATCTTCCAGCTCCCCGGCTACTCCGCGCACTAAAGTTGTACTACAAAATCGCCAGTTCTCAGCTTCCAGCTCCACAGTTTGCTCCGCGTACTAAAGTTGTACTAGAAAGGCACAATCTCCCCAGAGGGTTGCGCGGTACTCTCACAAATCGCGCTCTCGCCTGCATTTCGCGCTCTCGACACGCACGATCTCCGCAGAGGGTTGCGTGGTAATTTCACAAATCGCGCTCTCGCCTGCATTTCGCGCCCTCAACGCACACGATCTCCGCAGAGGGTTGCGTGGTAATCTCAAAAATCGCGCTCTCGCCTGCATTTCGCGCACTCGACACGCACGATCTCCGCAGAGGGTTGCGCGGTAATTTCACAAATCGCGCTCTCGCCTGCATTTCGCGCACTCAACACACACGATCTCCGCAGAGGGTTGCGCGGTAATTTCACAAATCGCGCTCTCGCCCGCATTTCGCGCACTCGACACGCACGATCTCCGCAGAGGGTCGCGCGCACACCGGACGAATCGCGCTCTCGCCTGCATTTCGCGCACTCGACACGCACGATCTCCGCAGAGGGTTGCGCGCGCACCGGGCAAATCGCACTCTCGCCTGCATTTCGCGCACTCGACACGCGCGATCTCCGCAGAGGGTTGCATTTTCGGCTGACGCTGTTCGTCCCACCCTCCGCCTTTAAAAGAGAATTTATAAAGTGGGGAAATTTTTTTCATTAGGACATCTCTCGTGCTAGTCACTCATTGCACGAGTTCACTCATCACACTTGCATACTCATTGCATGCTTGCATACTCATTGCATGCTTGCATGCTCATCATTAGACTTGCATACTTTGACACTGGCATACTTCGCACTTGGATGCTTTCGCTCTTCCAGTGTGTGTGTGTGTAAGTGTCGAAGTGTAAGTGGCGAAGTGTAAGTGGCGAAGCGTCAGTGTTCAAAGGATTTTCCGGAAGAACCCTTCGCAATGCTTTCGGGAACAAACAAACATGCGACTCAAAAAAAAACTTTGCACAAAGATTGCAAAGCCAGATGTCCAGCGCAAGCATGGTTACAAGGCAAACCTTTGTTGAACCATTGCCTTCACAATTCTCCACCCCAGCTCCACCTGGCGCCCTCCTGCGCCACCCTGAACTGTTCTGAAAATCCACTCCGGAAATGCCTCCGGCCAGTCACAGAAGCCCACGTTCTGAGAACGCTCAAAAACTGGCTTACCGGGCGCACAACGGTATCGATCTCACCTAGACTCAAGAAAGTCCGAAAGTCATGGTGAAGTGATATCAAAGTGTCTGCAGCTGTGGATTTGCATGCATTTCATGTCCAAAAATAATTGAACACCCGCACCTGGCCTCACCAGGCTGTGATCTGAACCAGCTTTCTGGCGGCCTTGGAAGCTGTCCACCATGGTCAGGGCCGTTGCAACCGGGCCAAAAGCGCCACGGCTCTGCAGCATAGCACCGTTAAGGCTCCAGCATATGCTTCCGGGGCACCCACTCACCCGGTCGAAGCTCCTTAGCTCAAGCAATGGCAGCCTAGCCGAACCCTAGTCGAAGCACCTTGATCCAGCTCTTTGAGCAGTTTGTTCAGGCACTCCAAGTCAAAACAGGATGCCCCAAACTGAATCTAGAGCAAATGTGAGCTCTCGTTGCTCCAGCCTCCTAAACCTCTTTGCGTGTTTAACTTGTTTGCGACGAAGCCTCATACACTTCTTTGCACCTCCAAGCGTCTTACATCCTCTATCCCCCTAGGTTAGGCTCTTCACGCGCCCTGGTTTACACCTTTGTACACCTGTAGTCCCATCTTCCGCTCCTCCGTCCCTACATTGGTGATGCCCGGAATATTCAGGCGAGTTGGCATTGCGTTCTGAAATGGAACCTCGAAGGCCTAGAGGCTTATGAACGTAGAGGCTATAGATCAAAAAAACTGAAACATACTGAAACGGTGATGTCATTGCAACAGCATGGGTGGCCTCAATGAAATCAGCGGCGCTGTATGCAATACATTGTATTACATCGTCATCCTGTCATTGGCCACGGTTGGCCAGCTCCAAGTCATCGTTACCCTTAGCACCCCACAGCCCACTCCATCTCCTGCGGGCGGTGGGGTGGGGAGAACGGACATCGGACGATCGATTCCCTGAAACCAAAACACTGGTATGGCTGGCAAAAAGGTCCGGCCTCCTGGTCCGAATTCTGTGTCACAGCCTGGCATTCAAAAAAGTGTCGTTGCTATATGTTTTCGGGTTGTCTCTGCACGCTGCTTTTGTAACTTACAAACGGGAACCAAAACCACATCAGTTTTTTCTGGATCATGCCGTTTACCTTGGGAATGCATCGGAGGGTCACATCGTGATGAGAAAAACTATATTACAACCGCTTACTATGGCGGAATTCATACCTAGGACCTAGGACCTGCATTGAAAAGGATGTTTTTGTTGGAATACATTGACGAGGAGTGTCCATTAAAGTGCATCAGCAAAGGCCAGGTTTGACCTCAAATGCACCAGGGCACCTTAGCCATGTCAGCGCCGAACCTTTGCCCAAAATATCCCATAATGTACCACAAGCAGCCTCTTTCTGCACGAGTGCCAAGCTGCATGGTTTTTCCCCACGATCGGCGTGAATTCTTTCAAAGAAGCAACATATACGATCTGCTCAACTTGTTCCTGCGCCCAAGTCCAAGGCTTTCTTGCGCCTCATTGAGAGAGGTACCCTTCCAACGCGCGAAGCATCTGCAGCTGTGAACTTCATGCAAGATCACCTGGCCTGAAAACTCTGAAGCCTTTTGGACATCGAAGGTGAAAGCCTTTATTGGCCTTTATCGCTTGCAAACTGTCGACTTGTATACGGTACTTAGATGGGCCGCTGGGTCAGAATATTCATTGTCATTATCAAATGGCTAACAACCATACCATGTCTTCGACAGAGCCATGGGCTCGTCGAAATTGTCAAGAGCATGTTCTTGACCAGCATGGACACCTGACTCCCTCAAATGATGCACAGAGTGAACCATGCTTTTTCCGTGCGTAGGACTGGCCCCATCTCTTTGAGGCCAGTGTAGGACAACCCTGCATTTCCTTCCTGGGTGGGCGTTCACATCTTAGCTTGAAAAGGCAAGGAACCCAGCTTGAGCCTGCAGAGGCTTTGCGCTGTCTTACATTCAAGCTACAAACAAGGAGCCAGCCTGCACCACTGCGCGCGGTTGGAAGCACCTGGTACATTGTCTTAGCGCGTTAATAACACTGAAATCCATACGCAGCAACAATGGTACATACCCACCTGCTTCCTCAATCCGCAACCTGTTGGCCAGCCATCATATCGTTGGCACTTTTCTTGCCAGGTACGCCATTCAACATTTTCAACACGCTTGCCAAAGCATTCGTGCTCACACGGGGGTATAGATTTCTACACTTCCACCAGCAGCTTTCGCAGCAGCACGCATCATCGAGGTAGGTACCTGGTCAACCTGCCACATTCAGCCCGCCATGACATACATCCTTTCAGCAAAGGCGGCGACCAGCCACCATGTAGACCTTGGCCACCTGCCCACCACTGCACCCATTCTACAGGCGTGGCTGGAAGTCAAACCTTCAGGCCCAAGGCCAGTCTTTCAAACCTTGAGGTTTCGGGCCATATGCAACAGTAAAGCTTTCAAGTGTGTAGAGGGTTCAGAAAATGACAAGGCCAAGAGATGAGCATCCAAGGCCAGAAATGAGCCAAAGGCCACCCTGAAACGGAACAAGTGAAGAGCCTCAATCACACCTTAGATTCCCTTGTCCATGCTTTTGCGCGCGACAAAATTGCTGGCCGTCCAGCAATGCGGTTATTGCTGTTGAGGCTGGCCGGAAGGAAGCAAACCAAGGTGCAAGCGTGAGCTTGTTTCCAGCGTTGGCTCCTCGTCTTGGCCGGTTTCAATGGCAAACTTGAAGCTCCACCTACCTAAAGTGCCCCTTTCTATGAACTTATCCAGCATATTCCAGCGTTCACCATCTTGTCACCCCTGTTGGCTTCATGCGCCAGCAAGTGAATGGTGGGGAACCTCTCCTGGTCCTAGGTGGGCAACCACATAGCATGATTAAACGAGTGGCATAACCAGTTTAGCAGGGTTAGCTAAATGGTTAACAGTCAACAGTTATGACAACTGAGGTAATGACAATGACCGACTTCAGCTGTGCAAGTTTAATAAATGTGGGAAGTCCTCTAAACGCGTCCGCCTCTGAGGTTTAGTCAAAGTGGTTGCCCACTGTAACAACAACTGCAAATGGTAATGCGGGATTGGCATTAGGCAGGTCAGCCGTAATTATTGCACTCATTTCCAAAAAGCCTAGTTCAAATTTGATTTAGCATTCGTCAAAAACTCCACAATAGAACAAACCCACAACTATAGCACCTCTCTCTATTGTGGCTCCTGGCTTGCCTTGGAATGCATTCCTTTACATTTCTCTTTAAAAAAAAGAAAGCACAATAAAGGAAAATCTGAAGTCTGCAAAGTTTCACGCCTAAATAGGTTTCTCCTTAATAAAGCTTTATGAACATGACAACATATGACAACAATATCAAACCAACATGAAAGCAATCACTACGAACTACTACTACTACTACTACTACTACTACTACTACCACGACTACGACTACGACTACGACGACGACTACTACTACCACCACCACTGCTCTAGAGAACTATAATCAAGGGCGCATCCAAAAAGCATAAAACGAGGGGGCCCGCCCACTAGTACGAATCTAACGTTAATACATATCTTCTGACCCTTTGCCACTTGGTTACTAATGGCCATAAACACGTTGAGGCTCTTGGCTCGGATGACCTTGCACCGGTTTGGTCAATTCTGGGAGCAGTCCATGAACTTGTAGCGCAACGTAGTATTCGGCACAGTGGGTTTGCTCACTTCACTGAAAAAATCTGCTTACCAGCCAGAAGGGGTAGTGTGACGGGCGGGACCACCTCATTTGGCGACCCGGACTTTTGCCTGGGCATCGGACTTTCTTCTGGCCGGGTCCTGCCCGTCTTAGATTCGAACTTCATGTTCTGTCCCTATACTATATCTATGTTGTGGTATGTTGCGGTGGCTGCATCCTGGTGTTCGCCACGTCTGTGTGTGGGGTGTTGCTTTTCCTGCATCATCCCGGCTCCTTCCTCACTCCTCCTCCCCCAAACCTACAAACACAACTCAATTCCCACAACTCAACTCACACGATTCGACTCACACAGCTCAACTGCTCAACTTACACAACTATACACAACTCAGCTCACGCAACTAGGCTCAGGCAACTCAACCCACGCAACTCAACTTGCCCTACTCACGCAGCTCAACTCACACAACTCATTTTGCACACGCTCACACAACTCAACTCACACAACATACTCACAGAACTCCTGCCTGCCGCAGCTTCTGGAGCCTCTCTATACTCACAAAACTCGTGCCTGTCGCCGTGGTTGCCGTGTTGTTGGGTTCAAGGTCAAAAGCAATCAATTGATCCAGCTGGCATATGAGGTGAGAGGTGACCTGTAGGACGGTGTTGCCGGGGCTCCTCTCTTCATCACAGGTATCGAATGGTATCGATATTGTGCCCCAGGATGCCCCAGTGAACCCGGCCGTCTTGAACTCCAATGTCTTCCAGAGCTGGCCCATACCTCGTCTTGTCCTTGAACCCGAGTCGAGGACTTTCCTATCAAGCCTGATCGGAGATGCCCGGCCAGCAAAAATCCAAAAAGGAAAGCCCGCAATGTCCCACTCAAGAGAACATAGTCAGCCAGCCGCGAAGTGCCCAGCCACGATCTAAGGTCATTGAATCAAGAAAATTTGCTGTATATAGCAACAGCAAGCAAGTGGAGTCAACGAACCGACCGTCCACATCCAGTCCCGAAGAAGCCAACCGCCAACCGCTGAGCAACCACAGATAAACGCAGGAAGATGCAGGAAGGGTGTCCACGGGCGCCCGTCCACCCCGCTCAAACTTCAGAATAACATGTTGTGGCCACCACACTCAACTTCATCACTTCTGCCATGGTACCATCCAAACCCACTGGCAAAAGGAAGTTTGCTTTTGTAGACTGTATAAACTATGTAGTCCGACCCGGGGCTGCATCCTCTGAGCCTTCCTAAGCCATGGCCAAATGCCGACACTATCGAAAAAATACGTTGCTTGCGCTCGGCTAGAGGCTTGGGGCTTCTTCAAGTGCGTGTGTCTAATACAAAAGAAGTTGAATATCCAGTATCGTGATTCATCATGAATCCCTGAATCCCTCAGTGTTGGTTGCTCCTGTGTTGACAAAGCGTCTCAATGACTATTCAACACCCTATAGCCTTCTCCACCATGCGCAGCACCAGGCTGGCGCGTGAAGGGCTGTCCTCAATTCAATGGAGGCTGTAAGACAATGCTTGAGGCTTGAGTGAAACGACCCACTTCACTTGGCGTCTCCCGATTTTCTCTGGCAAACTTGGCTCGCCAATTGACGTAAGCCTTAGGCTGGTCAAAGATAAACATGTGCATCCTACGAGCCTGTGCCCTTGCACAGGCTCATCCGAACGCTCTGCCAGTGCAAACGGCTCGTCCTACAGAAGCTACAGTCAACACAAGGGTTCCGCGAAGACCCTTGGATTGACATCCTGCAACATGCGGTCAGCGCCATGGACCGCCCAACTGCATGACATGCCAACGCAGCCACGCAAGCTGGATTGCCTTGGATGTGAGGCGATGGAAGTGTGTTTGTGTGTGTACATATAGGGGTTAGAGTGTTAACAAATGCTGATACGCAAGTAGGTTGCAACACAACATCAGTCATACAAAGCCGCCGCATGACAAGGAACCCACCCCAAACTTGCCCAGCAACGACTGATACTCCGACCGATGTGAATGTGGCAGGACCTCTAACAACCTGAGGCCATGGGGGTGAACGAAGCTAGCCACTGCTGGGCGCGGTTTGTTGCTCCGACGCAAAAGCAGTCCAATACTGAGCAGGGTGGCTACCTCCAAACAAGGAGGCGGTATCCAGTGAGGTGTTCCTTGATGAGATCTTTGATGCAGCTGCTCCATTGTAACATGAAGAGCTTCTGGTTGTGGGGGGAAGAGTGCGCTTTCCTGTTCATGGCATGGGCTCATGTGATTTCACCGTCAGGTGTTTGATGGGAAACCATGGGTGCCGTGGTCCAACAATATGGGGTTGCAATAGATCAGGCTGGAGCATAAGCAAATCAGAAGCAGATTGCAATGTTGGCATTGCTGATGATGAGTGGTATTGGAAGCAGGGTATGGTGATGGCACACTATGGGAAAGTCTTCATGAGGCAGCTTAATGGGAAGGTGTAGCTGCTGGATTAGAAGCCCATGGCCATGTCCAAAAGAGCATCAAACCCGTCACACGCAGCCAGCAAGCATGGATGAGGGAGGTGGCCAAGCGCGAGATAGGTTGAGGCATTTGGTTCAGAGGCTGGTTGATTCGAGGGGCTGGATTTTGATGGATTTTGATGAGGTGGGGCGATGAGCCTTGTCATGCCACTATTCATTGAGTATGACGCCACAAGGGCTGGGCGCCATCAGGGTTGTGAGATCATGTGGTTTCGCATTTGCACATTGGCATAAACATCAGCGTATTTAAAATGACAGTGGACAGTGAGGTTGAGAGGCATGAGCTCGTTGCCAGGAATGGTGTGGTGAGGTGAGAATGCTGCAATGCAATGTGGCCTCATGGTATGGCCCGGCGCCAGTGGGAGTTGAACCCCCAAACGGGGAGTCCATAACCTTGAATGATTCAAGGATTTGAGGTGATCGAGGCTGCCGTCCACCCTCTCAATTACTTGCTAAAGCAAGAGTGACTCCAGCTGGCTGAGGCTAGCTTTCATGACTAGCTGAAGCTAGCTTTCGTGATACGCGTGCTTGTATGCATGTGCATGTGCGTGAACATGGCAAGTTCTGACAAATTTTTTGTATACATGTGAACACGATGGAGCCCACGAAACCGAATGCAAACACGTTCGAAAAGCTACACATATGTCCAAATGACACTCTTGTAGGACACTCTTGTGGAACACTCTTACGCGACACTCTTGTAGCACACTCTTGCAGGACACTCTTGTGAAACACTCTTGTGGGACACTCTTGTGGGACACTCTTCTGGGACACCCATACGGGACACTCTTGTGGGACACCCTTGTAGGAACTCTTGTGGGACACTCTTGCGCGACACTCTTGTAGGACACTCTTGTGGGACACTCTTGTAGGACACTTGTGGGACACTCTTGTAGCACACTCTTGTAGGACACTCTTGTGGGTCACTCTTACAGGACACTCTTGTAGGACACTCTCGTAGGACACTCTTGCGGGGCACTCTTGTGGGACACTCTTGTAGGACACTCTTGTGGGACACAGTCTTGTGGGACACTCTTGTGGGACAGTCTTGTGGGACACTCTTGTAGGACACTCTCTTGTGGGACAATCTTGTGGCACACTCTTGTAGGACACTCTTGTGGGACA